GTTATTGACTGGCTGCTGCAGCAAAATAATGCTCCTTGCCATAAAGGATCAATACCCACAAAGCTTTTGAGGGACTTAAGCTAAGCCATTCTGCCCTGGTTTTCGCAAAGTCCGGGCCTTATCAAATGAAAATGTTTGGGTAATGATGAAATCAAACAGATTATTCAACAAGGACCGAAACTGGACGATATCATCAAGGAAATTACCGAAATTTGGTCGAAATTAACAATTGACTTTGCCCGATCCTTAGTGGCATCAATTCCAGCAAGGCATCGGGCTGTAATTGAAGTAAAAGCAGAAATAACTAAACACAAACTTAAATAAATAAGCCCTTAGTTATATAAAACAAAAATCCAAAAGAAATAACATTAAACAATAGCAATAAACATTGTTTAAGTTTTGTGTAAATACTAAAGACGCAAAAAAAATGTGTGTAAATACTTTTGACAACCTCTAAGTAATTGTTCTTTTCGCTCTATTTATTAGCATGTATCGTTATTTTAGCAATTTCTTCAGCCGATCGCTTCTACATAGAATAGGCTTTATGCCACAAAAGCTTTTTTTCAAAAACGGCGAACGAAAACAACAAAAAAAAGCTCTTTAGGCAGAGCATGTAGAAAAATGTTCGTTGTGTAAATACTTTTGACCACCTCTGTATGTGTGTATGTTTGTGTATATGTATATTCTGTGTGTTTGAGCTATTTATCAAGAGCTGCGCATATCCGGTAATTGCAATAGTTTTCTAGGCTTTCTGTTCCGTTGTAATCTTAGTTTGAAATTAGCGCAAGGCTGCAGATACAGCGACATGCCACAGCTACAGATACAGATACATTTCACAGTTACATCAGCTACAACAGCTACAAACTGCCTATTACACACGCACAGTTTGTAACTGCGTTAGTTGCTGCCGCTGCCGCTGCCACTGTCGCCTCACGCCTTACGCCTCACGCTTTGTTGCATCACATTTCCTTTAACCCATAAGCCCCAATAAGCTTGTCTAAGTGGCACATGCGCAGCCTCACAAGTTGTCAGTCAGTCAGTTACAGCAAAAGATACAAAGATACATTTGATAACTCGGCTGCACAACAAGCTCAGGCAGAACAATGAGCGCAGCCAGCAGAAATGAGCACAAAATGGAAAACGCTGCTTGGGGGCACCGAATAACAAAAACAAAAACAAGCAAAGAACAACTACAACAACAACAATTATCAACAAAGGCGCCAAAGCCAACAGTTGTTGGTTGTCATATCCGTTGCTACAGGGTATTTTGGAAGGTTGCATACATATGTGAGATATATATGTATGTATGTGGTCTAATATTTAAAGCATATGCTACATATTTATTTAAAAAGAATGTGAATACATTTATGTATGAATGCCAGATATGGGAATAAATAAATGTAAATGCATGAGTGCATGAATGAATATTTTGATCAGTATCTATTTCTAAGCTTCCATCTATGCATATCTTTATAAAGATCTGAGCTGAAATCTTCCATATTCATTTAGTATATAAAACAATGAGACTATTGTAGCTGCGCATATAAGGAGATCTAGATTTATACATCCGACTTATATCTATTACAAAAGATGTTAAAATTTGAGAGAGTGCAGTTTAAGAACATTCGAGCTTCTTATTGAAATAAATAAAGTAACTCCGTCTACATATCTTTAAACTCATGTTATAACATTTTCGAATTTCACCACCTTTCACTCCAATGTACAGTAAACACTCGTCTTTAAGAACGCCTCCATTACACAGCTGATTTTGTCTTTCACAACATTTTTAAAGTTCTTAAAAACCTCACAATTATCATCATCATATATAATCTTAATGATGAGAAACTACTTAAAACTTTCACCAGAGCACATTAAACATCTTGCAGAGCCGAGCATATTACATATTCGAGCTCCGCCCTATTACATATTTCCTGTGTTCCCGTATCAATCATAATTAGGCATGCAATAAATGCAAGTTTTTCTTAAAGAAACTCAAGATGCAGCTAATTATATGTTATGTATTATGCAGCTAGACTCAACGCGACTTGGAGCTCAGCTTCGTGTGTGCTTTGTTGTCTAGTTTGGATTTGTGTGTGTGTTTGTGTTTTATAGGCGTGAGAATTCATCAACTTTTTCAGGGGTTATCGCACGTATTGTGGGCCGCACGCGTAAAGTTTAATGCTTGCCCACATAAAATCTTGTGCTTAATGTTTAATGTTAAATAAAATTGTGTGTTATGGCTTTTCGTGTAATTATTTTCGATGCTCGTTGGTTAGGAGATAAGAGAGTATATTGGTTTGGGCAGTCTGGGTGTCTAGATTACATTTTATATATATACTTATAGAGCTAGACTCATTAGGTTTCGCTCTAGTAAGCTTCCTTCTTCATAGAAGAGTAGAAAAATTCAGATATTTGCAGCTTGGCGTATCTGAAAAAGTTACTGTTCTCAAGCAACTATCTTGAGCGAGCATATTGCAGTCGTGTATGCCCTATTGCATAGACTATACATGTTATTTCTTAAATTTAGTCGCGCTTGATTGCGAGACGAAGCGTTTAATTTCTATGAACATTGTAAGAGTGTGTGTGTGTGTGTGAGCCCACACACAAGATCTGAAGCTTGAACAAATTATATATACATGAGGATATATACATACACACGCATACATACATATATATGTATATTTTGAGTCTCCGTTATGTTGCTTAAATGCTGCCACCTACAAAAAGTGCCACAAGAGTCGAAGCTTAGGCCTCGACTACAACTTTAGAGTTTTCGGTTTCTATTTGCACAGGTGTTTTTAGCACCTGAGCCTAAAGTATTACGTTGTTGTTGTTGGTGGCCCTCCAGCTGCCGTCAACGTTAAGTGCTAAAAGGCATTTGGCTGCACTTTTCTGTAATAATTAGCACATCATGACTTGTAAACAACTTCGACCAAAAAAAAAAAAAGAAAAACATTAAAAATGAAAAACATTCGCCTTTGTCATCTACCAAGGGGCTTTCAAATATACATATATATTTTTAAGGAGTGGGTGTGAATTATGCAGGTACTTAGTCAGATACTGGAGCGTGTGATGTATAATGTACCTGGAGCTAAACTCTAAAGTGGACCACTTGAAAAGTGAAAAGAGGCCTAAGGAGGGGGAGAGATTGAAAGAGAGATGGAGGCATAGAGAGAAATGAAGTTTGTCAAGGATTTAAGCTTCCTTTTTCTTTTTCTTTTCATTGTAATTGCTTTGATATAATATGTAAATTTTATTTAGTATAAAGTATATTGTTAAGCTAGTGATATATGTCCTATATATGATATGTACTAATGGATAACGTTTGAGTATCGATATTTCATATAGTTAAGATCTATAAGAAGTCAAGTAACAATCTCTCAATCTAATAGGTTCTGAGATTGACGTGGTTAGACAGACGAAGAGAGCTCCATCGTCTCAGTTCATCTTCTTGATCAAGAATATATATGGGCTCTGCCACGACTTCTTTTGCCCATTACTTGCACTTTTACGAAAAAAAAAAAAACAATTATACCTTGAGCTGACATTCTCAATGGGCTCAGTGTCTGATTATAAATTCCCTTCAGGAGAATTGTTCTCTAATCCCAATAATCCCCACTTAGAGAGTTACACATGCGCACTCTCACCTCTCCCCTCTTCCTCTTTCTCTCTTTCACATGTGGGCTAACAATTGAATACTCTGGAGGAGGCACCCACACTCGAAGCAATTACGTGTCTATTCTTCAAACTCCTCAACTTTCTATGGCTTTCATTAGAGGCCAACACGAAATTCATGAAAATTTCCCACGAAAATAGTTGCTAATAGTTTTTTTACTTGCAAAAAAAAAAAAAAAAAAGAGTTTTAGAAATTACACTTAGATCGTTTCGGGGTCTGCACGCGCCACAAGCCACAACAGTTCGGCCACCAATTTGTGGGGCATAATTCAATTTTGTTTATAGAAACTGGTTTTCGTCTCCAGCAATCGGGCTAATAATAAAGATTTTTTTAAGCTAATTGGCTCATTAAAGAAAAACGCTAAAAAAATAAACGATGATGATAATGATGACGACGAATGATGATAAATGATGATTGTTGTCGAAACGTGCAACATTTGCGCAAATCAGCAAATTCATAAGCTTCAATGTCACGCTGAAGAGGGGGTGTGACGGGGGGAGGGGGCGTAGGGGCTGCTGACTGGCATTAATAAAGAGGGCGGAGTGAAGACAGAGAGTGGGCCTGTAGTTGTCTCCCAAAATTTTCAGCGCGGCGTCTCGAGTGCTGCGTGCAAATGAGCTCCAATTTCCAGCTCCAGCTGTGCAACAAAATTAATTAGACAAATAGTAAATGATATTCTAAAAACAACTTTTTTTTTTCTCTACTAATTTTTGCAAATTGAAAAACGCCCTGGAATGAGGGTTGGCCATGCTGCAGACCCCCTCCGGTCCCCAGCTCCCGCATTGACCTTTATCGCGTAAGTCATTAACAAAGGAATTGGGCCATGAAAACGACGAAGGGACAGCCTCGATAAAGGCAGGAATGGAGTAAAAGTATCAGAGGTCGGATTTCGTATGCCCTAATACTAGATTTCAACACTCGTTTACTTTGTGAAAAGAGTATATATTTCTTAAAATTAACAACTTGAAGTTGGCTGCATTTGCTCGTTGTTATCCCCGTCTTATAAATAGTTCAGATTTGAGGATCTGAGTCCCAGCAAGTTGGAATGCAAATAGATCTATTGATTTAAGTTTCTATATTTAAGTTAACTCCACAGAGCACAAATATAAACTTAAACTTAAATAACTCTAGCTTAATACTCTTCCATGTAAATCTCACATTCCCTTCCATTAAATATTTCCACCTGAAGGTGTTTACTCTCCCCAAGTTAGGGTATTTTGTAGGGTAAAGGGCCAACTGCGATAAAATAAAAGCAGCTCAAATGGTTGACAAAAAGACTTAAGAATGGCATCAAGAGGGGCGGGGGGCTGTTGGTATTACTCACTTGCGTGCTAGTCTCTTTCTGATGCCCGCGAACATTTTGGCTGCTTCCTCTGTGACTGTGCTTTGTTTTGCTTTCCTTTTCTTTATTTTTATGGGTTTTCGCTCCACTTTTTGGATGCCTCCTTGGCAAGCGTCTTATTGTAAATTAAATTGCTGATTTCCGCTTGGACACACACACATACACACGCGCGCACGCACAACCAAACCGTAGCCAAAAACACAAAAAAAGGGCCAAGCGCGGTTTCAAATTAATTAAAAAACGCGCGCGTGGAAAAGTCGCGCACAAAACGCTCACGAAACGCGCCCAAAACGCAGTTGTCGCACAGTTGCTGAAGTTGTGATTGTTGCTGTTGTTGTTTAGTTGGTATCAGCAAATTGTTGCTGCTGTTGTTGTTGTTGTTGTTGTTGTTGTTGCTGCTGCTGTTGTTGGCATTGAAACGCCTCATTGCAAGACAGAAATCAATTAAGCAAAGTAGCCGCAACGGCAGCTGCAACTGTTGTTGTTGCTTTTGTTTTTCCCCTTCTCTGGCTGGTCTTTTTTTTCGACACGTTTTCGCTCGTTATGCAATCAGTAGATTATTTCTCTCAGTGTGCGTTTTATTTATCCATTGAGCGATGGCTTGCTCTTTCTTTATACACTTGTAGAAATCAATAGTAAAAATTTACTCGGCATTTCTCTACGCACACACATACCCTGGATTTGTGGCTGGGTGTGGGGGGATGGGCCTCAGTTATGATGCAGCTGAAACGAGAGAAATTCACACATTATTCACAAATATTCGCCGCAAAAGGGAATGCAAGAAAATGAAAACTTGAAAATAAAACTTGACAAAATATTTGGCTTTCATAAAGATTATTTTCTTTCTTAATACTCTGCCTTGTGCATTGTGGAGAGTCTTATCGTTTGTGCCAGCTGTTTGTATTGACTTTTTACGACTATCAAAACTGTGTATTTTGTGTTTTCATTGTGAATTAAAAGCTAGCTTCTTAACATAATATTATCTAGGGATATTATATAAGACGAGTTATCTATAGAGTTCAAAGAGTGTGGTAAAGCGCTTTACAAATATGTCGATTGTATTTAGTTAGTTATATAGTTTACAGAGAAGGGATTATATCTCTGCGAATATATTCAAATTCTCAATCAGAACCAATATACTCTCTCTATAAATATGATGGAGAGTACAATAATATCTTTTGTTCTTATTTATGTATGAGAATGGGAATGTTGTCAGCCATGCAGCCATGCAGCCACGCAGCACGTAGCACGCATCAAGCAGCATGCAACATATAGAAGCGATTTATATAATTGACGTGTCGAGTGACAAATTAAAAGGGCAACATAAATCGACTGCCTGGATATTGTGGCAATTGCGGTTAGCATTGTGTATGTGTGTGTGTGTGTGAAAAGTTGTGCATATATATGAATATGAAGAAAAATATATACACTTCAAATGTATATATACGAACAGCAAGATTAATGAGTTTTTAATTTGATGCAAGTAAGCGAAATTTGTGAAAGAATTAATGGTCAAAAATGTGAAATTATTACAAAAGAAGCTTAAGTGCTACAAAAACTCTATAGAAGATACCGAGCCGCAAACATCAATCATAGCGCGTGTAATTAGAATTGCCCAAAAAAAGAGGGGCGTAGCACAACAGACACTGATTCAGATTCGGATTGGGATTCCGAGTCGGATACACCACACACACACACACAGCTACAGATGGAAATGCGTATACAAATACATTAACAGATGTAATTATGCACGGTTGCGCCCTAATGGGCCAAAGGGCGCATGCACTTGGCTCACAGACACAGATGCAGATACACAGATACACAGTTACATAGATACAAATGGTAGAACGAGCTACAGCTACAGCTACAGAGCAGAGGCAGCCAGCATGACAAAGAACATGTTTTTTTTTTCTGTTTCCAGCCAGCGAGAGCGAGTCACAGCTCGATGCAGCAAGCGTGAAAGAAGAACAAACGCACGCTCGCAATTGTTGAGTGGAAAATGTATCTGTATCTGTATCTGTAAATGTATCTGTAGCCGTAGTTGCTGCTGCTGCTGCTGCTGCTGCTGCTGCTGCTGCTGCTGTTGTATCTATTGAAGATTGCAACACGTACAATTCGTGCATACAACAAAAGCTGTCGCGGCCAATATTGACGAGGCCCCGCACTCGCACTCGCACCCCCCGCCCCGGCCCTCGTACGCCACGATTCTATCTAGTTTTTCTTTTTGTTCCCATCCATGGTTCCGCTATTTTAGGTCGTTTCTCCCGGTTTTCCAGCAACGGAAACCTGCAACATACGATATGCTTCAGCGCGCGTGCAATTACCACCGCAAAACATCGCACAGCAATGCGAGATGCGGTTACTGCGTGAGCTACCAGCTAGGGGGCTGGGAGAGGGTCTATCAAGTGGGGAGGGAACGTTGGGAGCTGGGCAGATGGGGCTGAGGCTGGGAAAAGGCTTTGACAAAGTGAAATTCAAGTGGCCCACCGAAAATAGCTGTTGCATATTAAGTATAGTTGTTAGCACGCAACAATAAGTGAAATACAAATGTTCTTTAGACGTAATGCCACGGACTTACACAAGTCTCTGACACTTGTATGCACTGAGAAAAAAAAATCATATAAAATAAGAAAAATAAGAAAAAATATTATAAAGTTAAACTGTATTCTTCTATATGTCCTTGTTATATTTTAAATATATATATTTTATATTTTGATTTCTCTCACTGTAAAATATTGTCAACTTAAAAATTGAATATGAAGAATTATGCCATGCCAATTAGAAGTTCCTTCCATCTTTTCTAGTTCTCTTTCAAATTCATGTTATTTAAATGCTGTTTCTCATTTTTCTCTCAGTGTATTATATGTATGTATGTATATATAAATATCCATCAGAAGTTTTCTCCCTTTTCTTATTCAAACTAATATTTAATACATTTGTTTAAGTTTCATCATCATCGCATCACACTTTTCTCTCAGTGTACAACTCTGTCAACTTCAACTCGAAATTTATCGTGAATATGAAAGCTAATCAGAACTTTCATTTCCTACTCTGTTAGCTATCTGTCTGTCATTCGTTTGTTAAAGAGCTACACAGTTTTACTTGACACGCCATGCTTTTCTCTCAGTGCACATTTTTGATTACTTCACAAACAATCTTTTCGTTGGCTTTCTGCTAACGCCCACCCGTTCGTTTGGCATTCGGATTGAATAACAAAAGCGCTGTGGCATCTCCTTTTTGGAGTCGTTGATGGCGTCAATTGTGCAATGTGTCTACGGCTCAGTGTCCGGGCCCGGGTGGTCAGACCCGGATTGGAGGCAGCACAATTCGCTTAACTGGCATGGAATTTGCATCAGTTGAACGCTATTCATAGAGCTGCACAAGTGGATTTTGTTGATGGCTACCCGGGATTATTATTATGATATTTATGACAGACTAACCTAACTGATTCCAACACAATGGGAGCACAATGGAAGCAAGAGAGAAATAGTGTAGCAGGGGGGTTTGGGTGGGTGGATTTTAGTTGGATTATGCATGTTATACACAGTTGGCATATCTAATTCAAAGCGAAGCAAATATTTTCATTTAATTAAAAAAGGAGACGAATCGCGTTGATTACATTTAAAGTGAACGAAAATTGGGTGAATGGAAAGATACAGTGAGTGATAAATATATACATATTTAGAAACTGATTACATAGTTTCTGATAAATAGAAATATTATAAAATCGAGAAAATGGCTAGATAGTAGATTGATAGAATGAAATGAATATATAGAAGGATAGAAATCTAAGAAGCTCGAAAGGTAGATAGATATCTGGAAGTCTAAATAGAATCCTGAATAGATAGACAGATAGATTGAAGTTTAATCAGTTCGATTTCTGGGGAAAGATTGGAATATTGAAGTATAGACCGATAGATATATCGAAATAAATAAGTAAATATATAGGGAAAGACCTATCATAGATGATAGATTCTAATTTAATTTACATTCAATTTAACTATACATCTCTCTCTCGCTATCTCTTTTGATCTCCTCCTGTTACTAAATCTATTTACATTTTCATAACAATATTACTATTTAAGTTTTTGCTTAAATGTCCTTTAGGTTTTTTTATGCATTCCTGGGAGTTTAATTAAAATGTTTTAAGGTTTTCACAGCTCGAAGATGAAACTTTTGCCCGCAACTTTATTTGAAATAAAGTTTTGTTAAGCCACAGTTGTTACATTCGAGTTTTGGAATCTCAGTGATATTTCAATTTGTTTTTATTTTTCTTCAAACTGCGAGTGCAAACTTTAAGTTTGCTTTAAGCCATGCAAGTTGAGAATTTGAAATAGTTTTTGCGTAACTAATTGCCGTCTAAACTTGAGCGTTGCCTTTGGTAGAGTCTCTGCCGGCTTGGCTCAAGTTCAGGCTGTCATTCAAATCCCGCAGACAATCCGCTTTAGTCTGGCGCTGCGATTTAATTACGACTACAAGCCAATGGCCGGCGGAGCAGTCTGTTTAGTCCAATTTAGTTGCCATTTTAATTACAGCACAGTTTTCCTGCCGTTTTCCACTTAAAATGAAAAACGAGGCAAGCAAACGCGTTGTGCAAATGTGCGAAATAAAAAATTTCATAACGTGAAATTAGCGCAAATAACTTGAATGCAAATGCAATTTGGGCACGTCGAACAGTTCGGGCCAAGAACCAACTGATGGATGTGCCTGCTCTCTCTATATATAAATGTATGCATAAATATATTTAAATGTGTGTATGTACAGTATCTGTCGGCTCATAAATGCAGCAGCTGCTGTTGCTTGAACGCAGACGAGCACGCATTTGAGTATTCATATTCAGATTCATACTCATAGCGCCCGTTTGTCTCAGGCGTTTTTATATTGCGAATCTATGGGGCATTTTGGGAAGGCAGGGTATACTGCTTGAGTGTGAGTGTATGCGACAGCCAGTGAAAGTCAGATATCTATAAAGTATAAATATGTACAGAGTATATAAATATATACATATATTAGTACTGCATCAGAATGGCGTTAGTCTAGTCTAGTCTTCTCAAATTGTACTTAAAGGTCCTAACTCTGTCTATAAAGTATATACATATACAGAGAGTAGAGAGCTTAGGGTATCTGCTCAATAAAAACAAAACTCTATTGAGAATAAAAATATTTATAGAACTCGACTATTATTTTTATAGTACTCTAGGTAGTACTCTAGACAGAGCAAGTATGATGGATCTCTAATTCTAGGGCAGCTCTTAGCCGTTCTTCCACTTATTCCACTGTTACCTATTTTACTTTGATTTATTTCACCTAAAATTCCATGGCATATAGTTTTTCTCTCAAACTAAACTCATAGCAAACTACAACAATCATCTTCTAGGGTATCTGCTCTGCCACTTACGTCGCTCTTATGTGTTTTTAGCTGCGTCTGTTTGGTTTATAATTAAACCTAAAACGCACTCACGCACTCGCCACCGCCAGCCCATTTATGAATTTTGCCAATAATAAACAACAGCCAGCGATCCCCGTTTCAGTTATTAAAAGCGAGCCCCGCCCCCTGCTGCCACAGGCCCCACGACCCATTCCAGCTGCTGCTCTGGCTGTGGCTGCTGCTGCTGCAGTTGCGTTTTTAGTGCTGACAGCAATTCGAAATGCAAATCTTTTTGCAGTTGTGCGTTTTTCTGCCGACTTTATGAGCTGCCTGAATATGAATATGAATATGTGTA